GTTAGATTATTAATTCTATTTTATTTATCATTCTGACACGTTTAATGTTTTTTAAAGTAGTTTCTTTCAAACTCATGACATGGGTATGGGGTGTTCAAATTCGTGTACTATGTAGTGTAATGTATTATTTACAGTGTTGCTTACACCAAGGATTGCTAATATGTCTATGGCTTACAGCGTAGCTATTACAAATCACTGCAGGGGCTGTATATATTGTTCTTTCTAATTAAAAACTTGCCTAAGTAAACTAAGAAAAAGATTTTCTCATTTCCGGGATGAAAATTTTTATTCTATTTTTATAACACTATTTTGAATTAAGAGGGTTTTAAGCATCATTCAGAAAAGAAAAAAAATCTTATCTTTATACCCACACTAGTTGGTAAACAGCAAACCAATAATTTATTAAAGATGGCTTTTAAGTAAGGAAGTTATAATTTCTATGTATTTCTGCTTGAATATTAAAAAAGTCATAATGAATTTTGACATTGAATTTTGTGAGCTCACTAGGTTGTAGCGCTATCAATTGTCACCTGAGCTCTATTTTTGAATTGTAATTAATTTAATTGATAAAGATATATATATGCAGTATGTAAGTGGTAAAAATTGATAATCATAGTAAATCATAATGATTTCAGCAATGATGCACTCTGGAATGGGTCCTGATCATGTTGTGAATTTTCTCAGCACATGTAACATACCCCCACCTGATCCCAAGACACTGAAAAAGAAGGAGAAATGTATAGCATTGTCACTTATGGATGAGGCATCTGATTCCTGTAAAACTGCTAGTGCAGAAGAAAAAGCTATTTCCCCAAGTGATGAATTAGAATGCAGTTTTGATGCTGGTTGGCAAACAAGAGGCTCTGGTTGGCAATATAACAGTAACACAGGTATCATGTCAACATCAGTAATATTATAGAAATAAAAGTGGAGGAGTTTATTGATGTGTGCTCACTAGGTTACCGAATTGCATATAAACTGAATCAAGTCAGAAGGACTTTATGTAAAAATTAAAATATGCATGTTAGTCTTAATTCTGTCAGGTTTACACATCAATAAACTCGTCCAAGATAACTATTTAGGTTCCAACTATGAAAATCATAGGTACATTTAGGTTTACCCTTGTCCCTTTGTATATCTGTCCTTTCCTCCCAATTTTAGTGAAGTTTTTATGTTGAAGTCCATATTACACCTACTGTACATGGTAGACCAATGATATTTGATCAATAGATTTACCATATGAATAACTAGTAGTACTGCACATTGGGGTTCACTAAAAAGTAGGCCATTCTACCCTACAGTAATGTGTTGAGTATAAAAAAGAAGATGTGGTATGATTCATAATGATTGCCAATGAGACAACTCTCCACAAGAGACCAAATGACACAGAAATTAACAATTATAGTTCACTGTACAGCCTTCAACAATGAGTAAAGTCCATACCGCATTGTCAGCTATTTAGGGCCCAGAAATGACAATGTAAAACAATTCAAACAAGAAAACTAATGGCCTAATTAAAGGTCCATTTCTCAGCTACTATTTTATTTCAATGAAATTTGGTAATAAGGTAGATTGTGATATTGGAACAGATACCTGACATTGGAATTTTTAGGTTTATTTGTAACTTGTGGCTAAACAGCAAAAAAAGCTAAGCAAAACTCACATTTACATCTGTGTCATATAGATAAACCTTATAAGTTATATTTGCAAACATTATCCTTTTTTTTTCTATTTTGAATATAATTATCAGAAACTGTTTTTGACCTTTTCTTATGTGACTAAAAAGGTCACGGACTTCGTATATTTCAGGACATTCCAGTCTAGTTGGTGTAAAGACAGGGAAAATTCTAGACTATGATATAAGAACTAAACTTTGCAGTATATGCCAGCATCATTTGGGAAGAAAGGAAACAATTCCAAATCATCAATGCAACAGTAATTGGCAAGGTACACAAACAACAATTTTTTTAAAACGTTTTTTTCCAGCAAAATCCAAAGATTTAAGGTTAATCCAGCCTTCTGTGAAAACGTCACCATATCCACAATTTATTTTATTTTATGCAAATTAGTCATCCAGACAACAATAAGAATATCACAAGGAGTAACTATAGCTAGCACATACATTTGTAACAAATAATTTTTTATAGCAATCTTTCCGAATGGAGGTTGCCCTATAGTGACCAGTCTGTCCGTCTGTAACAAGTTGTGTCCCCTCTATATCTAGAAAATCATTATGATTTCATACTTGGGTTTCAGTTGACAACCCATGTCCTATGGTGAAGATTGTGTCTGCTCTATATCTTCAGAACCATTATGATTTCAAAGTTTATACTTAACATGTATATTAACTAACACCAGAGGGTGTGTCTTTATGTATGTACAACTTCTTAGGTCAAAGGTCAAGGTAAAAAAACTTTGGTTCTGTTGACAATCACATGACCATAATGGTAAAGATACAAACAAATTTCCACACATTATTCACAGCGAGGCCCACAGAGATGGCTTCCATCTCAATGAGTCTAGTTTTAATTATTACAGTTACAAAAACATAATCTTTGTTTTGGTCCTTGAAAAAAGGACAATGATATTTGGTTTATGATTGCATAGTCATAACACCGCCTTATGGCTATGCGCTTACAAATCAAGTATGTGTTTTGTGTACCACCATGACCTTTAAATGACCTTATTCTTAGACTACAATGTCAAATAATTTAGTTTTGTAAGTTATAAGAAGGGAGATGAAATATGTTTCAGTCATCCAAAACAGTTCTCACGTAAATAATTGTATTAATTACAATGTCCTTTTTTGTTACAGGGTCAAGTAAAGGCATGGAGCCTGACATGGCTTTATCCATGGTTACAAGGATGGACAACAGAGGGTGCACATTATTCACACAGATAATGACTCTACAACAACATCAAGGCTGAAGCAAAAATTTGAAAAAATTAAAAAAAGAGACGACAAGAACCATGTCAAGAAAAATCTGTCGAAACAACTGTATGCAGCAGCAAATAAGTACAGAGAGCTGAAGGGGAAAGGAGTTATTCCTTACATACTTAGATGCTATATGTATGCTATAAGTTCAAAACAGTCAAAGGAGGATGAACTTTGTGAAAGATTAGACAGTATAGTTCCACACCTCTTTGGAGACCATTCAGGCTGTTCTGGGGATTGGTGCACATATTCCAAGCAACCATCAACATACAGGTTTGAATTTTTAAAAATTTGAAGGATGTTATACATATATATGAACGCTTTTTTATATATTTTTATTATGAGTGATATATGCCAGAACAAACTTAGTTAAGTTTGGGAGCTGTTATTGCTATTTTAAATGCTGATAACCAATTTTGTCATATAAATGCAGAAAAAAAACAATATACAATAAAACAAGTACATCCTCTCATTCTATAAAACAAACAAAAACAAAAGGTTTTTCTCCAGGTAAATACAATTATAGGACCATTAGGACCAAAATAATTTACAGACAATAAAAAGACTTGTAATGGTTAATTGAAGAACATTTTTTCCTGGAATTGAACAATAATTGTGTTGTATTTGAATACTTGCCAATGGACTATTCCATCTGTGATGTTACTATCACCAAATGAGTTTTTGAGTGACTAAAAAATGTAAGATAAAACCATCAGCAAATATTCAAATACAACACAGTTATTGTTATGCACAAGTCTTATTTTCTCAATAAATTTTTATGCCCCATTAATGGGCATTATGTTTTCTGGTCTGTCTGTGCGTCCGTTCGTCCATATGTCGGTTCGTTCGTCCGTCCGTTTGGCTGTCCCGCTTCAGGTTAAGGTAGTTTTTGATGAAGTTGAAGTCCAATCAACTTAAAACTTAGTGCACATGTTCCCTATGATATGATCCTTCTAATTTTAATGCCAAATTAGAGATTTTGTCCCATTTTCACGGTCCACTGAATATAGAAAATGATAGTGCGGATGGGGCATCCATGTACTTGGGACACATTCTTGTTGTTTTTATATTTTGGAAATGTCATCTGTGGCACAGCGCAAAAAAAATTCAGGTACAATCCTTGTTATAAAAAAAAATGCATTACAATACATAATGAATAACACAGTTCAGCCTCTTTAGGAATATTCAAGCAGTCTATTTAACTAAATGGACTGGTAAATAAAATTGTACAGTATAGATCAATTTGAAACATTGCCATAAATCAACATTCATATAATGTATGACATTTCAACTATTTTCTTTGATATCATTTCAGATATAAAAATCTCCCAAAAGGTGAACCATTGACAAGCAGTTAGAGACAGTGACAGAAAATTACAAGAAAAGATCAAGCCAACTTGTAGATTTAGGCTCAACACAGAGCAATGAAAACTTCAACAATATAGTTGCAAGCAAGGCTCAAAAAAATAGGTCAGTAACTAAAAACATTGATTATAACCTTTCAGTAACATCCCAAAATGATTCCAACATCAAACACAAAGAAAATGAATATAAACATAGCAATACAAAATAGAATTCTTTCAATTTCAAAGGGAGATGATTGTTGTTTATCTGTCATTAGAAAATTGACTATTTCAGAATTTTTTTCTCTGAAAACTGACTTAGCAGAATTCTTTTTTTAAACTATGATCATTAGCATATTCTTAAAAAACAATCCTTCATTTTGATATCACTGTATAAACAAAAAATAACCAACAGTGCAAACGGTTTAACATGAATTTAAGTTTCACTTTATAAAATTAAATTTTTGATATGAGGGGGGCAGGCCTAGAGACGACAGGTGGCAAAGGTGTTGTGATTCAACTCCAAAACTTTTAAAGATGTAATTTCAAAATTTTAAAAACTAATATGAGATCTTATGAAACAAAAGTGAACAATTCAAAAATGTTTGAACAGTTATTCCCCCTGAAACAGTTTTATAATAATTTTAGCTAGTTTAATCTTCTGACAGCTGCTTTACAATATTAACTGTGAAATTTCTTTTTGTAGATCATATGGCGGAACCAGCTCATTAAAAGCAAGAGTTTCAGCTGCAGTTCTTCAGAAGAATGAAGGTTATACCTGGGTTAACAAGGTATTGTGTTACAGCTTATATATTATAAATACTGTGTATTTCCTGTTTTATTTTACTCCATGTAACATAAACATAGTATAATGTTTGTGACCTGTCATTTGAGGTTTCTAAACAATAATTTGAAAACTGATACAGTGATTTTTAACCTAATTTTGGAAGAAAATATTGGTTATTAAAATGGTGATGTACGGCGGGCGGCTGGGCGTGCACTCGGGCGGCTGCCAAACAGTGTCAGCACAATAACTTGAAAACGCTTTAACAAATTTTTTTCAAATTTCAATATGTTGTTTCCTGGGACTTAATGAAGGTCTAGTTCAATTTTCAAGATATAAGTATATCTCCTTTGTGAGTTATTGCCATTTTTAATATCCAAAAGTGCAATTTTTAAATATTTTACTCTTGTTATCTTTTTTATGACTAAGCATAATGTCTTATCTCACAATAAAAATTGGAGTGACAGATTTATTTGAAAATTATCCATTTCCTAAGTGGTAATGATGATAAGCTATATTATTAGACATTTTGAAGTTAATTACATTATTAATTATCAACTAGATCTGGGTTATATCTTAACATATAATATCATTGGAGTGACAGATTTATTTGAAAATTTTCTGTTTCCTGATAAGATCTGTAGGACTGTATATATAAAGTTTGAAATTTACTAGTAGGACTGTATAAATGAAATTTGAAATTTACTGTTCATTATTAGACATTTTGTAGATAATTAAGTATCCCTGAACCATATATATTCTTACCCCCACCCCCTTTCAATTTGAGAATGTGCTTTTATCTTGTAAACGGTTGATATCCCCACCCCTAAACCATATATATTCTTGTATGGGACAATAAAACAAATCAAATGAAATAAAAGGCGAGTCCCCTGGGGTCACCCCACCCCATCCTGTTTAAGAACTTGTCAACCGTCGAGATCCCCACCCCTAAACCATATATATTCTTGAATGGGACAATAAAACAAATCAAATGATATATAGGGGAAGTCCATGGGGGTCACCCCCACCCCCCTTCTTTTTGATAACTTGTAAATAGTCGAGATCCACACCCCTAAACCATATATATTCTTGAATGGGACAATAAAACAAATCAAATGAAATTGAGATGAAATCCCCTGGGGTAACCCTCACCCCCTTTCTTTTTGAAAACTTGTAAACGGTCAAGATCCCCATGCGGAAACCCCCACCCCTTCTTTTTGAAAACTTGTAAACGGTCAAGATCCCCACCCCGAAACCATATATATTCTTGAATGGGACAATAAAACAAATCAAATGAAATATAAGGCGAGTCCCCTGGGGTCACCCCCACCCACTCCTGTTTAAGAACTTGTAAATGGTCAAGATCCCTACCCCTAAACCATATATATTCTTGTACAGGACAAAAAAACAAATCATATGAAATAAAGGGAGAGTCCCCTGGGGATCACACCCCCCACCCCCCCTTTTGAGAACTTGTAAACGGTAGATATCTCCACCCCTAAACCATAAAAAATAAATTCCTGTTCTTAATTTCAAGAAGATTTGAATGACATACAGGGTCAATCCATAGGCGTCACTAATGCATATCATAAACCAATTTGTACTGGACATTGCAGCATTCTGTTACAATTATTTCTTATAATTACTGATAAGTTTTATAGATTTTGAAATGAAATTGTAATAATGATAAATAAAATTTTGGATTTTTTTCTTCTTTTCTTTGGTAAATTGTTTATAGAATTGTGTGGCAAGTTTGTTTGTTATTCTGTAAAAACTAATTTTCTGAATGCTATATATATTTTTTTTTCTATTTAGTAAACTCCTTTAAAAACTAAGCTTATATTGTCTATTAATAAACATATATTTAGATTTCTGATTTTGGGCCCAGTTTTCAAGTTGGTCCAAATTGGGGTCCAAAATTAAACTGTGTTTGATTTCAACATAAATTGAATATATATAGGGTTCTTTGAAATGCTTAATCTAAACCTGTATTTCTTTTCATTATTAATAAGATAATACCACATTGAGGTCCAAAGGGTCCTAAATAACACTTTTGATTAATTTCATCAAAAATTGAATTCTTTGGTTCTTTGATATGCTGATTCTAGCAATGTTTGAGTGATAAATGATATTTAATTTTAGAGAACTTAGTCATCACTGGTTGTTGTTATTATTGATTATAATTTGAAAAATTGCATTATATCTTATTTTAGAGAACTATTTATCCAGTTTGAGTTATTTCCCTTTGCACAGAAAATATTATGGATAAAATTAACCTGTGTTTCATTTCAACATAAATTAAATATATAAAGGGTTCTTTCAAATGCTGAATCTAAACCTGTATTTAAATATTAGATTTTTGGGCCCAGTTTTCAAGTTGGTCCAAATCAGGGTCCAAAATTAAACTTTCTTTGATTCAACAAAAAAATTATTTATGGGGTTCTTTGAAATGCTGAATCTAACTTGTATATAGAGATTTTGGATTGTGGGCTCCTTTATCAAGTTGGTCCACATTGAGGTCCAAAGGGTCTTAAATTAAACTTTTGTCTGATTTCATCAAAAATTGAATTCTTGGGGTTCTTTGATATGCTGATTCTAATATATACTTAGATTTTTGCTATTGGACCATAGTAGGTATTTAAATGTCCAATTTCAAGTATTTCAGTTCTTAAACCACATTCATTTTGTGTCACAAACCTATGCTGTTTCAAATATTCAATCACAATCCAAATTCAGAGCTGTTTTAAGCTTAAATGTAGTGTCCATACTTGCCCAACTGTTCAGGGTTAGACCTCTGCAGGAAAATCCGGTTTGCTGTCACTCTGACAGCCTCTTGTTGTCAAATTATATACAAAGGTGAAAGACCTTACAAAGGTGATCAAGTTCAAATTGGACTTAATTGTATTTTTTCAATCAACTTTTTCTTAGCAATACTTGTCCACACCATAAATGATGTTAATTTGGTTTTTAATTGTTTGAATATAAAGCAGTGTGTGGTTGACCTTCATGTGACCTTATCCAAAGGTCGAATATAGAATTTAAAGGGAAGGGTTATGTTTTTTGTCATCTAAAACATTTCTCACTAGTTTAGGTTAACAAGAAAGCATTGCTGTCACCAGGCACAATTTCTGTTAGAGTTGGACAGAGGATTGACAGAAAGAGACTCTGGCAAAAGAAGAATAGCTCCTCAGTTCATTTTAAACGTGACAGATTTAAAAGAAAGGTAAAACTTCATGGCATATAATTAGTCAATTTAGTGACAGCCATATAATAGAAAAAACAAAGGATATGCGTTATCCAGTACATGTACAACAAAAAACACACAAAAAGAAAAAGGAACAGCTCTTTTGTTGAGGTTCTTCATCTCAAACTCACATTAAAGCCTCAACAGGAAGAAATATATAAGTCTCACCTCACTGCAATTTAGTGGTAATTTTTAATAATACAGTAATATATGATTGAATTCTAAAATTGGAGGCATATTTAGCCTGTTTCTCAGATATGAAGTGCCTTGTTAGGTGTATCCAATATTCTATTAACCAGTGCAGTACCCTCTGCTGTATAAATACAGGTCTATTGATCTCGCTTCCATGAAATGTTTTGAAGTGAAAATTTCAATGTGGATAGGAACGAGGGCCAAGAATAGGTGGTGTGTGTCTTATTTAGATTTTAGTATATCAACTGTCTTACAATTGAAAGCATGATGTGGCATATATAAGAGAAGTTATCTCAAGAATAATTACACCACAACTTTAAAAATACAGAATAGTCCAGTCAATCTAGCATAAATTTGACCCTAACCTTAAAGTAATTGCAAATGAAGATTTTTAAGTTTTAATCTTCAGCATTATACCCAAAATATACACATAAAAAGTCCCATAAAATCTAACTAAAGGAAGACTAAAAAAATATCGATGAAAATTGATACAAAATTATAACTTTACCGCTTCTATTCAACAAAATGTATTGATTCTTGATATTTTAGCCGTCTTTAGAGTATAACAAACAACTCTAAAGGTGTTTTCATATCTTTTATCAAGCTACAATCTAGATTTCATAATTCATTAGTTGACCATTTATTGAATTTTTCAACATGTCAAGGTAAAGAATATCAAATTTGATAAAAATAATTAAGCATACATTCTTCTTTTTGTTGATTAAATTTTCTTTAAACAAGGTAGATGCTGAACAAATATAATATACAGATATAAACAATACCAAATTTTCACATTTTTTTTTCAAAATGGTCACAAAGCAACAAATTTGCAATTTCTTTAATGAAAAATGCACCAAAAAAAATAAAAATACCCATAACACTTCGGTTTTGTACATTTCATGAGCAGAAGATTATATAATATAGTCAAATATAAACTTATAACCCCATCTAAGTATCATCCTTTACATAAATTTTAATAAAAATCAACCAAAAACTGACAAAAGAAGACTCATTTTTGCGGAGTTATCTGCCCTTCCAATGCTAATTTCCATAGGAAATTTTAAAAAATGCTGATTTTGAGTTTTCAAGTTAGATTTTATGGGACTTTTTTCTGTGTATATTTAGGGCTTAATGCTATAGATTAGAACTTAAACATTTTCTGTTGCAATTAGTTTGACTGGACTAGAAGAACAACATATTGATAAGCAAAGGGACATGGTGAAACTTACATGAATTATGTTAAATTGTTAAATCGATAAACTATAATATAAATTGCCAAAGACAATATGAATTGCAATTTGGCCAAAAATAGAGAGAAAACAAGATGATGACATTTCAAAAGAAAGATATGGTTATAAAGAGTTATATTCCCTTTATTTTACAATATACATGTAACAACACAATAAGGTATAAACAAAAGATTTTTCTGAATATTTTCTTTTTGTCTTTTTGTAGCATAAGAAAACTTTTCAACAAATTAAAGCAGCAGTTATAGAAGGAGAAACATATCAACCACAAATTGAAGAAAATGTGTCGGTAAGAGACATTGAAAAGATTCCAACTAAATATTCTTTGGAAGGCATAGACGAATATGTCGTGTTTGATTTAGAAACAACTGGGTTATCAAGAACCTCTGATATAACACAAATATCAGCATATGATGGGACCAACATGCTAAATCTTTATGTGTCTCCACGACAACCTATTTCATCAAAGGCCAGTGATGTGACCGGCGTTACTTTCTCTTTTGAGAGAAACCAAATGTATTGCCATGGTGTTCCAGTTGAAAGCGTATGTATAAGAAAAGCCTTACTTCAACTAATTGAAATGATACAGAAAAAATCTCATCCTGTGCTTGTTGGTCATAACATCCATTCATATGATGTACCTGTACTAAGAAATTTGTTGCAAGAGTTTAATCTGCTGAGTTCTTTTGATAACCTTATTTATGGATGCATTGACACTTTGAAAATTGCAAAACGTGAAATACCAAATGCTGATATTCAAAATTATAAGCAACAAACATTAGTTCAAAAGTTTCTGGAGATTGTTTATGATGCTCATAATTCTGAGGAGGATGTAAGAAGTTTATACAAACTGTTCCATCTTAAACTGAAACAGACATGTTCTGCAAAGGATTTATTTCCGTTTAATTATTTGTCAATTGTAGAGGGTTTTTATAGTGTCATTGTTAAAAAAGTTATTTCAAAAGACACTGCAAGGAAACTTTCATGCACAGGTCTCAGCCTTCATCACTTGGAGATTGCTTACAAAAGAAACAATGAAGATGGTGTAAAATCCATCATGCAGGAACATGGTTTGAAAGGGAAAACGGCAAATGTGTTCAAGAAGTTTTTTTCTGAAAAAGAGGAATAGACTGTATATGTGGTTAAAGACTGAAAATTTGATATTTATATGCTATAATTCTGTAGAAAAATTGGTTCTGCCTATCTAAAAATCTAACCCTTTGAAACAACCCTTGATAAAAGTAGATTATGAATAAATTGAAGTTTTTACTAAAATTTGAGTAACCAAAGAGTACTTACACTTCAAGTATATAAGAATTAGGGATCTGTTATAAAATTGCAGCATCCTTTAGTAATTACTCTGTCTGTACATCTGTCACAGTTTCCTATTTTGTACAATAACCCAAGTTTGCCTCGACAGATAGCAACAATAAGTATCACATGACATATAAATATTTTCCATTTAGTCAATATTGGTGGATAACTTTCTGAAGCCTGAAGGATTATTTCTCTTACAGATTTTTATTTTGATTGACATTTCAACAGATTTTCAACAGATTTTTATGAACTTTTATACAAAAGTAGGTGCTTATGTAACAATACAAGTCAAATGAATATTAATAAAGGGGAGATAACTTTACTTCATCTACATGAACCAACATAATAAGCATTAGGCTAGGCCATAAATCAGAAATGAGGGGACTCATAAGGTTGAATAAAAGTAACAATATTGTAATGTATCAGTTCCAAAGTTTTACCATCTTGTCCATCCCTACCCCACCCCTTTTTCCACATTTTTCTAAGATTTGTTGTAGCAATCTGATCTAAGGGCAAGACTATTGTTTTATATAAAGTTTTAATGGAATATTTTTCAGAGATTGCAGTTTTCATGAAATTGGACAAATGTGTCAGTGAGTCCCTTGGAAACTGAATCTGCCCCATATTTATTTTTTATTTTTGAGAATATACACTTTTGCAAGTTTAATCCACATTCTCATCCTGGATATGTGTTGTAAATTGATGTTATATTATCATACTTCTTATATGATTTGCATATTATGGAATACTTTGATATAATTGGTCGAGAGGACCTCGGGTAGTTGTTCTTGAAATTGTTTATTTTTCGATAGACGATGTTGACCGAACTTCTTTTTGTAATCAATGAGGCGATAGTAACACAATCCGATTCAATGTTAAAACTATTTATTTTCACTTTGCATTAATCTTTAAATTGAATACAAACACAAAAAATTCATTTGAATGAAAATAAGACTTTTTGTAGTTTATTTTTTTATCAGATAACAAATTACACGGAGTACATATTTTTGCGTTAACCAACAAATAAATTCATGCGCCTGGCCAATTCAATGACACACATATACTACATGTATTGACGTATGATGGTGATTACGAGTGTGGAAAAATATTTTTTTTGGTAAAAAATTAAAGAATAATATGATTAAACGCTTTTTTAAAGGAATTTATTGGTGTATAAACTGGACCAAGTCACTCGCAAATATATTTTCAGAGATTGCAGTTTTCATGAAATTGGACAAATTAAACGTTTCAGTGAGTCCCTTGGAAACTGAATCTGCCCCATATTTATTTTTTTGTTTTTGAGAATATACACTTTTGCAAGTGTCATCCACATTCTCATTCTGGATATTTTTTGTAAATTGATGTTATATTATCATAATGTTTTGATAATTACAGTGGTTTGTTTTATATCATTGAGACATGGTCCATCTAGATAAAAATCAATTGGTGTCTGTAAAATGTCTGCTCTTGAGTTTTGTTTACATTTATGAATGTGGATGGTAATTACATAAAAAAAAATGATGTAAAAATAAAATTTATTTTACATATATTCTTTTTTGCTGCATCATTATAATCATGAACAGTGATTAATGAGTATGTTGATTTTTACACTTCCAAGACCTTCACAACAATCATTCAGATCAAACATCACACTATTCAGTCTATATAGATATAGGAAGATGTGGTATGAGTGCCAATGAGACAACTCTCCTTCCAAGTTACAATTTATAAAAGTAAACCATTATAGGTCAAGGTACGGCCTTCAACACGGAGCATTGGCTCACACCGAACAGCAAGCTATAAAGGGCCCCAAAAATTACTAGTGTAAAACCATTCAAACGGGAAAACCAACGGTCTAATCTATATAAAAACACGTATGAACTACATAAACAGACGACAACTACTGTATATCAGATTCCTGACTTAGGACAGGTGCAAACATTTGCAGCGGGACTGTTTTGAGGAACGTCTGTATTGAAAAATGTACAGGAAAAATGTCGTTTTATTTTAAGGTTAATTGAAAGGATAAAATAATATTACAAAGACATGGATGCTGCAAAACCAATGCTCATTTAAGAAATAATCCCACCTTTAGTTAAGAGAGTTAAAAAAATAAGTGAAAAATTTTGACATTTTTCATGAAATCTGCATAAAAGGGAGTGCGACAGGGTGTCATTCTACCCCCGTAACTTTTTATTTTCCCTGGAAACATACAATGTATCTTTATTTTTTTATGACTTGTAACATGGATATTAAGTATTTTATATACCAATTTAAAAAAAAATTCATTGACACAATTTTTTTTTTCTACTTTTAAAATATTTTTTTGGCAAAATTTTACACAAGCCGGCAACAGGCATATTACAAAAAAGGGAAGCCATTTTGAAAAAAAAAATTATTTTTTTCTAAATATTATGTCTAAAATATTTTAAAATATTCATTTATCATATTGTTCTGAGAAAAGGTAAAAAAAAATATATATGCCATTTTTGGCAGGTACCTTTATAGCTTAAAAATGGCCAAAAAATGACATTTTTAGGACTGCAAAGGGAGGTAACTTTTTCAAAGAATATTTCTAAAAATAGCCTGGAAACCTATTCTCAAATTTTGATATTTTGTTAGGTACACCCCAATGAACAATATATAGGAAATTTAAGAAAGTTCATTGGCTAGATTTTTTTGGCCTACAGTGTCCTTCTCTACCTTAAAAGAAACATATTATATCTAGTTTTTCAAAAAAATATTTATTTCGTTTTGTTACATCATATTTCGTTTCTTTCCGTTCCGTTTTGTTCAATTATTATTCCTTTTCGCACTTTACATGTACCCACTTCTTAATCCTTTTTAAAAAATTTAATAAAAAATAAAAAATTCAAACTTTCAAAAAGCGAAATGATCAAAATTGTTAGTTTAGTTTAGTATTTTTAAAGTTTGATTGAATATCTAACCTTTAAAATTTCAAAACGAATCTTAGAATCTTAAAATTTTGATTATTTGGTGCCGTTTTTAAAATTTCTAAAATTTGGAATGTTGATATTTTAAAACTTTAAACAGAAATAAAAAAATCTAAAATTTGAAATTTTTTTTAAATTTTGAATTGTTAAGTGTTTCACGGACCACACGTATCATTATATATTTCAAATGTGTCAAGAACCTGTATATAAAGAAGTACATATATGTTAAATTTACTCTGTATTTGTTGCACTCACAGTGTCAAATTCGAAAATTTTTAAAAATCCTGCAATAAATATTATAAAGAATTTTATATAGTCTATATCTTTATGCAAATAAACTCATCATAGATACCAGGATTAAAATTTTGTACGCCAGACGCGCGTTTCGTCTACAAAATACTGATCAGTGACGCTCGAATCAAGAAGTTGAAAAGCACTGAAGACCCACAATTCCGAAAGATTTTCAAAAATAGAGACAAGGTAGTCTATTCTTGGGGTAGAAAATCCTTATTATTTCGAAAACTCAAAGTTTTGTAAACTGTTAATTTATAATTATGACCATATCAATGATGATGCATGTCAACACAGAAATACAGACAACTAGGCTGGTGATATAGTTTTTATAATTTATTTATTTCCATAAATCAGAACGATATTCAGCGCTATACATGTTTGTTTAAGGCATGTTGATATAATTAATACCTTTTCTAAAAAGCTAGCCGTCTCATAGCTGATTAAATTTGAAAATGTAATTCCATGCAGAATAGCATTGCAGCGTGAATTACAAAACATAAATGGAAAAACTAATTTTAAGATTTTCCTATTTCTTTTTTGTGGGGAATTATAGGAACTTTGTCTCTGATTCTTTCCATATATACCTTAATATAATATAAAGTATTATGTGACATTTGTTTTAGAGACAAATGCCTGCGGGGGAATGTATAAACACAGAAAAAAGGGGATACTTACTCAATCATCTGCGTTTGTATCTGTTTATCTTTTTTTCTAAAAGATATGTTATTCATTAACTTATTCCTAGATCAGTTGTTTAATTCTTTGTGTTAGAAAAGTATGGCCACTTCCGTCTGTATCTGTTTCATTCATAGTAGGTCTCGAAAAGTGTATAGAGTGTGAAACGTAGTACAATTTAAACATTAAAGAACACAAAAATATTTTTCAAAAGAATAGTGAGAAGTGTTGAGATCTAGAAAA